TAATAATAATAATAATAGTAATAATAATGATAATGATAATGATATTAATAATAATAATAATAATGATAATAACAATAATAATAATAATAATAATAATAATAATAATAATAGTATAATAATAATAATAAGAATAATAATAATAATAATATTAATAATAATAATAATAATAATAAATAATAATAATAGTAATAATAATGATAATGATATTAATAATAATAATAATAATGATAATAACAACAACAACAATAATAATAATAATAATAATAATAATAATAATAATAATAATAATAATAATAATAAATAATAATAATAATAATAGGCCTATTCAAATTCACCTCATATTATAGTAGAACCCCTTATTCGGGACACCCCTTTTCAGTAGACGCCAGTATTAAGATAACACTTTTCTTGAAACATATACGGCCAACCCCAAGTTTTTTTTACAAGTTTTAAATTTTAATTCAATTCAATTCAATTACACTTTATTATCCCACAATGGGGAAACTTATTTGGCTTTAAAATAAACAACATGCAAACAAAAGAACAAATAAATATGCAGAATTCCTCAGTTTAAAAATTTAATTGCTGTATTAACGAATGACTTTCCGTATCTGTCGATTTTAATTTTACGTTGTAATATGCGATCACTTTTATTACTTTCACGAATTGAAAGCAGATGAGTACGCAGAGATTTTCTGTAAATTTAAGTTATAAAATATCCCGGTGAGCTTGCTCAACACAATAATTCTGGATGTGATGTTCCTTTGGATCTTAGACTACTAAAAGACACTGACTAAACAAAAGGTTAAAATACTTTGTAAAATAGACTTATAAAATAGTTGTAAAATGGTTTGATCAATAGGCCTAAAAAAAAAAAGTTTGCGCAAAAAAAAAAAAAAAAAAAAAATACAGACGCTATTAATTGTAGCCTTAGTTGGTATTTAATTAAATCAACTTAATTCATCGTCAACATATCCACACCCAGATATTATAGGCCTAGATTGCTTTAATATACATTTCTGTGGATTCATATCATAAGAATTGTGTATTGAAAAATTGCCATAAATTACTTCAGATTCTAATTCATTCTTAGGGATCGTTGAATTTCATTCCATGTTGACGTGTTGAGACTCATCACTGTCTAAAATTCAGAGTAGGCTCTAATTCTGCGTTTTTGATTAAGTCAAATAAAAAATAATGGATATCTTCAATTTCACCACTTGTGCAGAAGTTAGGCCACTTGCAGGTCCTACTCCGGTCGTCAATGGAGTGTTGGATCTTATTTTTTTAAATATTTGATTTGTAATTCAATATCGCTCCAGTACATCGCATCAGGAGGAGATGGCAAGAAAAGGTCTAGCTCCCTCTATGTATACAACGTGGTGAGATTGTTGATGATGAGGCCTAGCGGGTGCAGCGTGTGCGTTATGTTTACCAGGAAAGTACATACTGTAGGCCTACTACTACTAGGCTAGTACTACAGTCAGTAAGCCTAGCTAGGGTTGACTGGATGGCTAGACGCTTTTTCATTCGTATAGCAGCATACGTAAGTAAATACTAAATTGACACAATAAATTCATGGCATCCTATTCTCACTGTCTATTGCAGTTATTGTATTTATCAATCAATATACTTGAGCGCACTTGCCTAGGCTAGGCCTAAGCCTAGATCCGGAGGTACAACTACCTACAATACAGGGCTAGGCCTTAGGAGGTCTGTCTATGTTGCCAACCTAACTAGGCCTTAGGCCTAGCCGACACAATCCTAGTAGGACTAGGTAAGACTTTATACAAAGTCGAATCTAGAGATATGCCTTACTCATAAATTTTGTTTGCATTATTAGTCTAGAACTCTAGGCCTAGGCTACTGACACTGTAACAGCAGAGTAGAATTCATGTCTGAGTAGAATGGTCGTCGGCCAAACGCGATGCTATTGAAAATGCAACACCGCAGCATTTTGTGCAATGGATCGTTTTTTTTTTGGACGGCCAGCAATTATTTAGGACGGACACTGTTACCATGTCGGCTTGGACGGCTTGGCCTAATTAGCTTGGCCTAGCCTTGCCTGGTCTACATTTAGCAAATTCTTTATATTTTTAAATCTATCGAATGTTACATTAAACTAAAGCTAAACCATTTTCGCGTTTGATAAAAACAACCTTTGTTGATTGAATATACGTTGTTTTCATACCAATATTCGGTGTTGATTCCCAAAAATTTAAGGCTTAACCATAGCCTACGTGGTAAAATTTCACTTACAACACACGTTGTGTTAAAAAAATTTATACCCCGCTGGAAAATGGACAGTTTTGAGTTGCCCACAATGCATGCACATGGCTCTGCAAATACAATACTTGATATTCGATTCCCTGAAATAGGCCTGTTGTTGGTGTTCGTAACTGTCCTAACGGTTATAGTTTAATTCATGAAATACCTGTACCGTACAGAAGATTTGTTGTTATCGTCACAAGTTAAATTTTATTAGTCAACAAAATAGAGTAGGTCTAGGCCTGTCTCTCGATTCAGAGGACCTAGAGTAGAATTTAAAACACTAGATTAAGGCGAGAAATGAAGATGCATGCATACAGTAGCCTAGAAACATTATGTGAGTAACCATAGCCGTGCGCAATCTGTCTAACTGAAATATCTTTTTTTAGGGGGCGTGGCCCCAAGTAGGAGTGGCCGGCCATCGACTCAGATCTACGCCCACTGGCTTCCATTTTGGACGGCCTATTTTGTTTTTCTTGGCTAAACGTCTGCTTCCACTGACAGCAAATAGTATTCTTGGCCCTGTATAGCTTTCACAGGGAATGGAGTTTAAATCTTCTTGTTTGATAATCAATTTGATAAGACTTTCCTTGTATGTAATAATTATTAGATCCATCGAAATAATATACAGTAGGTCTATAATAAAATAGCTAATTGCGGAAGTTATATATTCATATGTAATATTTAATAAGATTGTTTGCTCATATGCTGTAATAATATGTCTTTAGTTCTAGGGAATCTAGCAATCGTTAGAATTGGTGGTAGTTTGGCTAAATCAGACACAAATGGAATATTGGGTAACTTTGCTCATTTTTGTTTGAGCTATTAGAAGGTTCTGCTTTTCAAAATGGTACAAGGTTGATATACAAGTGAGGGAAAACAATAATAATCCAAATATACAGTACAATACTAAATAGGTGTACACTATCAATAATAATGTACCAGTTTCTTTGATGTTTGTTTCATCTGGTGCCAGAGTGATCTATTGTTATTTATTTTTATTGTACCTTGTATCCCTTGGCAAAAGGCACTGTATGAATTTCTGAATTATTCAAGATTATGGGAGTATAGGAAGCATAACAAAATACAAAATCCTACCGTAATTTTATACGTTTTTGAATTTGAATAATCAAGAGCGACAGATGCCTCATCAGATTGATTTGCCGGGTTATTAATCTCGCATGTACTTAGCTCTCTTGAGTCACTCTCGGCAATATAATATGTGATAGAATCACAAACGTTGTCGCTAAGTCGTAATTATTCAAGATTCAAAATTCATTTATTGACTTGTTCACAGTACTTTTATTTTTTACATTTGGCCATTTTGACATATATATTGCAGCCTTGCCCATTTGTGTGATCACCCAAAGTAATTTCTCACTCAAAGATTAAAAACTTGGTGCTATTTTTAAAATGATAAACTTATTAGTTCTGTGTCAATTTAACTTTTTTTCAGGAACTTTTTCTTTTAAGATTCATATTTTTAATGTCCACTGAATTGTTGGTCCATTGAAGCTATGGGAAAATCCAAGAAAAGTCAGTCAAAAGACCCAGTGTTGGTTGAGGAAGAGGAAGTGACAGTAGGTCCAGAAACATTTCACAAAAGCTTAGAAGAGTTGAAAAAGGCTCTGAACATTTTAGGGTTTGAAATAACACCAAAAAAGAAACCTTCCACAGAAAAGATTGCCTCACCAATTGCTGATGTCATCAACGAGTCAAGAAAACGCAAGGTGTCAACAGGTTCAAATACGGAAGCTGAATCCAGCGAACCACATCCAAAGAGACATAAACATGGCAAGCATCGTCATCATAAACATAAGGAAAAAGGAGATGGAAGCGAAACGAAGCTACCTGCTACCATTACAAGCCCAGAAGCTGAAAATTCTATTGAAAGAGTGGCCCCGTTTTGTAAGTTTGTAAATTAATCCTAACTTTTAAACATCTTTTAAATATAAATTTCTGACAGTGACTGATCACCCAGTTCTTTGAATTGTTTAAAGGGAAAGATCTAATAATATGTAAAAATTGCATTAGACCAAATAAACAAACAAAAAACACTTTGCATTACTCAAGCCTCGAACAACTCAATCTTTTTTAAAAGTCTGTTCTATTTGTTTCGGCAATTGTTTGAGAAGCCCAAAAGGTTGTTCCATAATGTTAATTTCAAGCTTGACTTCATAATGTTTTATACTTTGATGTGGATTTTGTAAAACTATGGAGAATTATTCAAAGCATTCTGATTGAGTGCTCACCCTAAAATATTTTTGGTGTGTAAAGATAGGTTTATTCTAAATTTGATTTCACACTTCCCAATTTGCTTTCCACGATACCTATTATCAATTTCAATGTAATTGGTTTTTTTTTTCGAAGTGTGATGAACTTGAATAAATAAAATTAAATGAACTGTATTACATTTTGATTGGGAGACACAAATCTTTATCAATGAACTTTGGTATTATTTTATTGTCACTTATTATTAGTTAATTATTTGTTAAAATTACTTTCATTATTAAAAGGTTTAGGAGAATGATTTATGCTTATTATTTATCTATACTTTAGGTTCGACGCCTGTGTCATCTGGTGCTAAATCTGCCAAAAGAGCTGTTTTGGAAGGAGCTCCACTATCGGCAACAATGGCTTCTTCTCAGTCCTCAGAATCTGATCAGTTTAGTTTAGTAAAAATGTCTCCATTGAATAATAGCAAATATTTGAAAAAACATAAAAAAGATTCAGAATTTGAGGAATTACCAATAACATCTAAAAAATCACCAAAGAAAAAGCAAAAAACAAAGAATTACAATGAACAGACCACCCAACCAAATTCTAAACCAGCATCAAAGGAGAAAATCTCACAGAAAAGTGATTCACAAAGTGGCTTGGGAGGTGATTGGACACGGCAGGAAATAGCAAGTGGAGATGCAAAGAAATTAGCGTTGTTAGAAAAATATTTTTCTGGAGAAAAGGGTGCAAAGAAACAAGAAATAAAAGAAACGAAAGGGGAGAAGAAATCAGCAGGAAAACCTTCACCATCCAATAAACAAAATGTAATAGAGAAATCTAATCAGCTAATTGGAAATACCTCAGAATTACACATTGGAAAAGACATTATTAAGGCATCAACTTCTGGATATAAAGTCAACAAACCTTTAATGAAAAGCATATGTTACAATAGTAGTGAAGCCCATACAACCCTAAGTCATAAATCTCCTGCAAAGAAATTAAAAATGGATACAACTTCAGTATTAATTGCAACAAAAACTCAGAAACTTAAAAATACCAAATGTCCACCAGATAGTAAGACTGTGAAGGAACATTCTGCACCGGACAGTCAGCAAGTATCCTTAGAGCAAGAAACTGTAACTGAAAAAAGAAAAAGAGCCAAAAAGCAGAAAAAAGAGGACACAACAGCAGCTTTTGTTGGCACTAATAAAAGTCTTGACATATCAAAAGATAAGGGAACTTCTGATGACTCTCAATCCTCTTCATCTACAAATGATTCCCAAGAATTAAAGTCTAGTGAGATATCTTCTAAAAAGAAGAAAAAGAAGAAACATACAAAGAAAAGTAAGAAGCGAGAGAAAAAGAATAAGAAAGAAACTTCAAAATCAAAGAAAGTAAAATCTACTAAACCCGGAATTGTTAATACTCAACCAATTAGCTTTCCAGCTAAGTCTTCGATACTCCTGAGTGAGTCTAAAAAGACTAAGAAGCCAAATGACAAGGTTAAAACAGTGGCCAGTAGTACATTCAATAGTCCACAGAAGGAGCGGTCTCTGTCCTCCATTACACCAGAGATTAAACAAGTTGTGAAAGTCAACAAAGTTAAAAAACATAGAGTTAAAAGTAAAAATGAGAACATTAGTCAGGCAGAAAAAGAAAAAAAATCATTGTCCTTACAAGACATTTCACAGGTAACAAATCAAATGGAATCTAAACCACCAGAAAAGAAGAGTAAGAAAAAACAGAAAACAATTGAAAATACAAAAACTAATAACAGTCAAGTAATAAATATAGATGTTATGAAGAAAACATCTACAGCAAAGATGGATGGCAAATCAGTCAAGAATTGTTTAACTGGAAATTTGAAATCCTCAGAAATTAAAAAATCAAAAGCACCACAAAAGAATACTCTGTCAAAAGACTCTAAAACTGCCAAGGAAACTCTTACGAGTCCTTTAACGAAAACACAAGAGATTTCAAATGTAAAAGGTAATGTTAAGTCAAAGAAACCTGTTGGAGATGATGAATTGTTTTCTAAGTCATTTGACTTCGATGCTTGGGAAGAAAAAATGAAAATGATAGAGCTTTTGAAGTCTGGTGGAAAATTAGAAAAAAATGAGTCTGAGGAAAAGGTACCCACTCCCTCTTTCGAGGATAGTGCACCAGCGTCCAGAGACAAGAAGAAGAAAAAGAAAAAAACAAAACATTAACCTGAAATTATGAACCAAGACGTCAGCAAGAATTGTACTGTGAAGACGATATCGTTGTGTAAAGACGAATTTGTGAAAGATTTATTAATATCTGAAGTTTTCCCTTTAATTGGTAAATTCAAATGGAAAGTTTTTTTGTGCGTAATTATTCCTGACTCTATTAATTACACATAGAACTTGTTTTTAAAATATTTTCAGTTCATTATAAATTCGTAAGTTCATATAGATAGCTGAATATAATTTGCATGATTTTATGTGTCTGTGGATTAAAAAACTCTTTAAATTTGTCAAAGATTTTATATGCTGACGATCGTGTCCTGCTGGACTGTGAAGCGCCATCTAGTGCCGGTAATGAGCCGCAGTTCATAACACGTACATTTTCAATGATATTTTACAACTTTGTACATATTTCTACAGACGAATTGAAATAATTAATGATCGATTTATCTTCCTCGGTATTTGCCTTGTACATTTTGTAATAAATTTAACACTAAAATACATATAGAAAATGCGTTAATTGCTTTTGTTGGTGGTTTAAAGAGTTACCTTCAGTAATGGTACATCGTTGATAATAATTACCAAAAGAGCGCGGCAACAGCTAGAAGTGGATATTATCAAAGAGTATAAATAGAACAAGAGAGCAAAGTCCCGTTCGTAAAAACGTCATGCCTGTGTAGGACGCCAACTAACGGTTGTATATTCTTTTTATTACCCAGTGCAGCNGCTCTGCGCAGCGCGGTAGAAGTACGCCCGCTATAAACTCAGTAAGCAGAAAACAAAAGCACAGTATCTTGTGGAGAACAGATAAACAGACAAACCTACAGTGCGCGGTGCAGTACTGGGTAATAAAACATATACAAGCGTATTTGTTCATTAGTTTAAGTTTGACTGCGCCACTTTCTTGTGTGCTGCCACTGATGTAAAAGTGTAATGTCAATAAATATTATTCAAAGATCTTATAAACACAAGATAGCGTTCTCCGCGATTTACGCGTAACAAATAGAAGCGTCGGTCAAGGTTCAAAAGTTTCCAATTTAGCAAGAGGGCGCCATTCATGCGCTATTATACCAAAGAGACGCGTAAATCCCGGAGAA